CGCGGTGTACCACCGCGATATAAAGTTTACGACGTGCACGAGTAATTGGATGCGATAAAGAACCATTGTTTCAAACGTGCTGACTCGAAGGGGTATTCTCGAGAGAGAATTCTTGCAAGTCTTCTATGGGACGATTTCTCGATAGCAATACTAGACGATTTGCTCTATGCTCTCGCAATCCGTGAACGCATTATCGCTGTTCACCTATTGAAAGAGCAAAAAAAAAAAAACGGAGTGATTTGAAACCAGAAGTCTTTATATCGCACGCACTAACTATAACTAGAGGGATGATTCTACTGTAATATCATATCTATGACTCTTTCAGTGGTGATCGCCGAAAAATGAATCATGAGAAGTTTTACTATACAAGGCGTAATTGCGACAGTGAAACATTGTCGACAATTCAGTTATTTTATTTAATTTTTTATTATTTCATTTGTCATTTAATTTAATTCCTGATACAATTTCGTAAAAAAAGTATATAACACTTGAAAATATTATATAATCCACTTGATCTCATTTTAAAACGAGAAGTTTTTAATTTGACAACGAATTCGTTTTTTCTTTAAAGATGATTTTACATGACCGTGGCAAATGGGAAAACTTGACGAGGAGGATACTTTGCTCATGAAAATTGTAAAAATTCAAACACGTGTGAAGAGATTAAAAAATTTGTTTCACGAGTAGATCCAACATGATCTTGAAGACTGAAGACATTAGTTTAACATTGATGTGATTTTTAATAGCTACGAATGATTTTAAAGAATGAATGAATGAAAAATGAGTTGTAATAATTCTATTCTTTTGCTTTTTGTAGAGTCATAGATACCAGTCTCTTTGTAAGTAAAAGTTACATTTTGTAAATTTGTCAATCTTTTCTTTTGCTTCATCTGCAGATCAATAGTAGTATAGTATCAGATTATTCTTTCTACCCACGACTTTTAAGTAGAATTGTCTGTTCTGACACAGACCGCACGAAGCAGACGCTGCGTCGTGTTTCCAATTCGAAAGACCGCTTGAGAAAGTCATTCGATAATTACGTAATGAGAATATACTCGGTTTTAATGTAAAGTGAAGTTATACTCTTATAATAATAAATTTACCCAAAGCAGTCGAAATAATAAAATAATTTGTAATCTGCTACAAATGTAGAATTATTAGAAACATCTTAGGTCTTTAGAAATTTAAATGTTTGTAAACTATATAAATAAATTTTCTAATGTTCTTTATAACATTTCCGAAAGATATTCACTGGAAGAATAACAAGTATCTCACTATAATACTCAGAATAAACATCCCTGTTACAATAAAAAAAAAAAAAAAAGAAAAAAAAACGCCTACAATTTAAATTCCAAAAAGAAAAAAGAAAGAAAAAATGGACAATCAAGCCACGTACGAAGAGAAAGAGGAAAGGAACGAAGGAGGCTAACGACTCGCTAAAAATTGATAATCATCGTAGTAATGGGCCTGTCGTTACACCAAATCCCTCGTAACACCTGCTACGAAAACTTCTGCTAATTACCACGGCATAATTCAAAAAGATACACCCCACCAGCGCCGCTTGGTCGCTGGTCGGTATCTGGTCGCCGCCAAAGTAGTCCCGTTTCGTCATTCATCAAGTCCGCGAGATTTACATCCCCCTCGACCTCATCCCCCCTCCCCCCCCCGCTGGCGTGGGATCCCGATGGACCCGTAAGGACATATCCACAAGCGCGTGCAACGCACACATCGCACACACGGGCGATATCGTCGCGTTACGTACGGCCCTCGGACACCTCTCATGACGTCAGTCAGGCCGCGGGGCCCGACGGGATTACAGGCAAGATCAAAAGGCGCCGACCGCCGCCGCCGACTCGATCTCGCTCGCTCTTTCTCTTTCTCTCCCTCTCCTTCGTCTTTGGCCGAGCGTTTCTCTCGGTCTTCACGCGCCGGGGTCCAAAACGGGCTCGAAGAGAAAGGACCTGGGCCACGGGGTGGCCCCTTATTCCCTCAGTGGAGCCGGTGAGCACCACTGACCGCGCGACAATACGCGAAATTTTCTGCATAACCGGGACGACCATCTTCCGTTATACGAAACACGGTCTTATTAAGCGTTGGATGTAGGGTAAATCTTGGGTTTCATGTGATTTAATGTTGATAGAAATTTAGAGACGACAGATGCAATTTTCTGCATAACCATGGATTCTTCGTTACGAAACACGGCCCCATGTTGAATATTGGGTGTTGGATGTAGAATTATTAAACTGGGCCTCACGTGATCTGGTGTTGATGTGGAACGGTAGAAATTTAGAAACAATAGATAAAACTTTCTGCATAACCTCGAATGGATGAAATTTTCTGCATAATTCGGACATTTTCCATTATACGAGATACGGCCGCTTTGGTTGTTGGATGTAGGTTAAATTGGATTTGATGTTGATGTGTCTGGTATTGATATAGAGCGTAGAAATTTAAAGAAAATAGATATGTGAAATCTTTTGCCTAACTTGGTTGCAGTGTCCTCTCTATTACAGTTCCACATTGCACATTGATTATGAAAGTTGAATATGGATTAAAGTCGGATTACAGGTAATAAATTTTAAAGGATACTTGAAATTTTTTATATGATGTACACTAAATTGGAATCAATTTGATCTACGAAAATACGTAAAATTTTCTGCTACATTACAAAATAAAATTCTTAGTTGCACACTAGTGAGTTGTATGATCAGATATAAATAGAGAGTGGTTAAAGTTAAGAAGCTAAAGAGATAAGAAATAAATAAAAGAAAAGATTCTGGTAATCATTAAAATTATAAAGAAAACTTTTCCACTTGAATAGAAGCTTCTTCTTTCTAGTTCAAATCTCTTACACTTTTCGAATAGATAAAATTTATTAAAACAGATAATATTTATTAAAATTACGAATTTACCGATTATTAAAACAAAATATGTTAATAAACAAAAGACTAATATTCTTATGATTTCGAAGCTTCAATTTTGTAGTAGCAACTACAAAATAACGAATTTCAAAAGTATAATGAATAGTACGTCGGTAATGAAGGGGCCGAGGCTTCAATTTTATAGTAAAATGGCCTGCAACAGCATTGAAAACAAGAATTTGCATTCAAGTTTACTTTGTCGGCGATTCCCAGCGAAATTGTACTATCTGACAAATACCAGCGCCATTGAAACCCCCGTTGGCCGGAGGGTAAATTTTAATGATGCGAGTTGCGCCGAGCGAATTCAAATCGGGGAAGGCCCCTATCGCTTCATATCGGCACGATCATGGATATTAGCGTGATCGCCCACAATCAATTACCTGTTATCAATAATTCATGCTGGAAATTATTTTCTCGATCATTTCGTACAGATCGGCCGTCTTTTATCTTTGCTACAGGGTGGTCTTACCTCCGCGACGAAGTACAAAGTTTTCAACCATGTTAATAAGTATCGGACATTCTTTTCCTTTTTCTTCTTTCTAAATAAACGTCCCTCGTTTTCTAATTCTTTTAATTCGTACTACCAATCATCAATGAACGTCCACTTTGTTTCCATTCTACTGTACACACATAGAGAGAATATTTTAGATATTTATGCAAGTTTCAATAATCGAAAAATTAGTAT